GGGGGGGGGTCACTGCCATCCAGGTCTGCCCGAAACCCGATGGCTTGTTGCATAAGCTGCGCCTGAGCGGAGGGCAGAGGGTGAAAACAGCGGGATCTGGAGGCGGAAAAGGGTCAGATGAGGTGTTAATCCTTCTGCCACACTCCTTAGGAGGATGCTCTTGTCCTAAGGGAGGGGAAAAAAAACAAGAAGCAACTGTGGGAAACCTCCGTCCGTGTCCCTGTCCACCCAGACTCCTTTATCTTGACATCATTTAAAACCTTGGGGCAGGAAAAAACGTAAACCAAAAGCGTTTTTATTGAATAAATACAATATTTGGTTCAAAAGCATCCTCGGCCGACTCGGCAGCGTCACAACACTCGGCGCCGGCTGGCGTTGCAACACTGCGGGGAGGAGAACGTGGGAGGGAAGAGGTGAGGAGGAAAGGTGGCTGCTCCCAGCAAACCCCAGAGGCAAGGGCAGCCCCCCCATGATCCCCACAGGCACGTGCCAGCCCCTCCGCTGCACAAAACGGGACGAACCGCCCTCGGGACCCGGCGTTCGGGAAGCTCCGTGACCTCCACCCTCGCCAGGAGCCACCTGAAGAACCGAATTTGGGGGTGAGGGGGGAAGTGAGAAGCAAGAGGACACCCTGTCCCGAAAACAGTCTGGGCGGGCTGCTGGAAACCAATCCACGAGAAGAGCAGCTCCGGCAGGCGTGGCCGAGGTAGCGCTTCTCCGGCGGAGTTTGGAGCGTACGTGCGGGGCGGTGAAGCAAGCGGAGTTAGGTATTAACTGGCAGGCCGAGGGTTTGGGCTGCCAGCTCTTTCGTTTCAGCGGCAGGAGGGCGCTTCGCTTCGCCCCTTGGAATTCTGCGCCCGCTAAGCGCCGGGGGAAGAGGAGAGGGGAGAGGTTAAAGGTGGAACCGGTCTTTGGTCGGCTCGCCAGTGGGGTTCCCCAAGGCTTCCTATTCCCGTAATCCAAGGAAAAAGGGGGATTGTAGCAAAAGCATGTTCCCAATGAGCCATTTGACACGATACACTTGGTGGTTTAGCCCTGAGAAAAATTCTATCCTGAAAACAGGCACAGCAGCTCCCAGGAAAACAGGCTTTCCCCCAAAAAAGGCGCACTGGAGGCGCAGTAAGGGATGACGGAAGCGCCGCTGCTGCAGCCTGAGCGTCAAGGAGAGCGTGAAAAGCAACAGTGGGGCAAACTCGCCCGAATTTCATCGATGGCCTCATCCGCGCCGGAAGCGCCGCTTAACCCGAGGTTCCTCAGCCGGGGCAGCGCTCGGCACAAAGCCAGAACGGCCCCGGGAGAAATCTTCTCGCCGAGGTCAAGGCGCAGCGTCTCCAGGCGCTGCAGAGCCGCCAGAGAAGCCAGACCCGTGCTCGTCAGGGAGGGAGCGCGGCTGATTTCCAGGGAGCGGAGGCGTTTCAGGTGGCGCCCGAGGAAGGCGGCGGCGGGGTCGCCGACGGCGCAGTGGCACAGCGCGAGGTGATCCAGGTGCTCCAGGAAGGGAGCGGCTCTCTGAATGCCCGTATCCGTGAGGCGGTAGGTGCCGGAGAGGCTCAGCGTCTTCAGGCGGCTGCGGGAGGAGACGTTCATCAGGTGGCGATCGGAAAAGGCAGGGACGTCGCGGATGACGAGGTGCTGCAGCCGGGGCAGGGTTCCCCCCGGGGAGGAGGCGCAGAACCAGGCGGCGGGGATTTCGCAGCGGCTCAGCTCCAGCGTGGTGAGGGAAAGGGGGATGCTGGC